TAAACCAAACAAAATTCTGTCTATTTCCGGATGTTCCCTCCTTTAGGTAAAATGGGTGAAGGGCTGTTCACCGCTCTAATGCAGACAGAGGACCAGGATTGCCCAGCCTCTGAGTGTACCTCACATTTGACCCTGGATCCAGTGGTGGACCATGCCCTAAAGGCCCTCCAGCTGACTGAGGCCCTGAGGGGAGTGCTGGAGGGGCAGGGGAGTGAGCAGGAACAGCACTCTCTCAGGAATCAAGTCTCTACTGAAACAGCACACATTATACTGAAGTGGCTGCACAGAGATGAGGTGAGTACCGTTTCACTGAAGGCTGTAAACACTGTAATAAATGGATGGATAAAAGACCAGAAGAGCATTATACAACACTCAGTATGCAAATCTAATATCCAATCTGAAAATATAAAAAATCCAATAAATGAAAATGGCAGGGCTGGCCAAGCTCTTCCCCTTAGAGGAAAAGCTTATGGTGAGGCGCGGGGCGTAAGCCAACACCATTTATTGTTTTGTACTAGGATCCTGAGTTCCATAATCTGAAATGCCTTTTGTCTGTTTGCCTGTCTCTGCCTCACACTTCTATTTTTAGCCCCCCAAACGTCTTGCAAAGTGTTACTCTAGTCTATAGCATAAATATATTGTTATTTCATCATTTATTTTTCCCACAAGAATCTGTTAGACAAAATTGAACCTTATGGTGGTCCAACTTTGGCCTTCAGGCTCTACGTTTGGCAACCCTGTTAGAGAATTGCAACGTCATAAAAGCAAAGGCATATAGGCTATATATATATATATATATATATATATATATATATATATAGTGTATACTTTTACTACTGCATCAGTCCATGGGTTTTATTAGTCGTGTGATATGGTGGTCTTTGATCCTGGCCATCAACATCTGGCGGCTGTTTTCCTGTCTGCATAGTTAGCGGAAGCTGGAGATATTGCAAACTGCACCGGTAATGAAATCCAGAGCTCCTGTTTAAAGTAAAAGCAGTCACTCCCCCTTTCACTCCCTGATTTCCTTTGTTCCTATACCCCCTGCACTACTCCTATCCTCTTTTTTCTGCAACAGTTGTTTGTTTGTCTCCTGTTTGTAATCAACCAGCAGTATACCCTCGTCTACTCTACTCAACTTCAATATATTTTCAACTTTTCACTTGCATTCCCTTTCAGTCTCCTCCACCTCCTCCTCCTCCTCCCCTTCTGCGTGGTCTTTACTGACATCTTGCTCTGCACCACATCTGACAAGCATGTGTTGCAGAAAGTTTCCTCTCCTCTGTGCCCCTTTAGGAAGCCCCGCAAAATGATCTCGACCGAGACGTACTTCAGACGGAGCGAGACAGGGATAGAGACAGACAGAGGTACGAGAAAGGAAAGGGAGGAGAGAAAAGGTGAGAGACCATGAAATTCAGCAGAAATACTGATGCAGTTATACTGACTGTGCTTCAGAGAGAAAGCAGAAGAAAAGCCAAAGGGGAAGTTAAAAAGAACTAGAAAAAAGTGAAGAGAAGAAAGAAAGAGAGTACAGCCAACTGGCATAGTTGGAGTTATTCGCCTCAGCTTTAAAAGTCTCAGGCTGCCCAGACTCCAAACCACACAGACTGAGGTCCTCTCTGCTCTCTCAACTAAAGCTGCAGTATGGAGGCTCTGTAAAGGGACTAGAGTTGGATTCAGTGAGACCAAGAGTGCAGCACAGTCAAGAGCAATTGGTTTGTCTTATTGAGGATTTTGTATCTGTTCATCCTCCCTGATGCTTTAGAGCACCATCTCAATTATTTTAGTATCTTACATTAAGAGCCAGAACTACGGTACAATGGGCCTGCACAATGGAGTATGATATTGACTTCTACAAACATTTTGCCTGGCTTAAGAAGGTAAGACATTATCCTCTTGCATGTCTACTCTTCAAACCTGTATACTGCACGAGTGTTTGCACAAAGGATATTGGTTGTTTCTTTTCGGTCTTGCAATGTTGTTGCTTTTACGATATAATGACGGTTTCCATGGTAGCTAATTTGGGAGGAGGACATGTTTTGAAGAGGTGTGCTGCAGGATATGCAACACATGAACTGTAAGCTCCTTGTGGACTAGAAAAACAATGAATATAAGTTAAGAAACAGCTAACGATATCATGGTAGTAAATGGATCATAACATGGGTGAAATAATAGATGCACTCTCTGCCAAACTGGTCACAAGGTTAAATGTTTGAGGTGAAAGATAAATGGAGATGCATGTCAGCTGAGATCATTTCCTTCCACTTGAACCTACAGCGAGCCTCTGGACAGCACATACCATCCTGCTACGATTAAGAAGGCATTAGTATTCACTGCATCCATTATGTCACACATTTGTCTTAATGTAAAACACATAGAGGAACCGTTTTCATAGATTTACTGTTTAATCATTATTATTTACAATTTTGACCAAGAGGCTTATGATGTATCATAAGAGACAACATTGTTGTTGTTTTTCTTGACAATGTTTGGAATATTTTCAAATTGTATATAAATATAGTAAAACTATATATAGAGAAAAACACTGTATCAATTGAATCACATTTACTATGTAATGCAAAAGCCCTGTTCAACTCATTTAAGCCACATACACACTCACATCAACACGAAATGACAGTGTCAACGAAAAACAACACATGTGAGATTTATCATAGGATTATACGTTGTAAAGAAAGTCAGGATATATGTTTGAAGTTAGGAGGAGAATCGGTTTAGGGATTGATTATTTTTGAGGTTGGCTAAAAACAGTTTGAGGGGGTCTGGGGGGGTCCGAAAACCAGTCAGTATCTGGTGTGAGGGGTAGGGGTAGGGTTAGGGTAATGTTGTGAATTGAGTGGCCCATGGTGGTGGTGGGGTTATGGTATGGGCAGGCGTATGTTATGGACGACGAACACAGGCCACTCGATTCACAACATTACCCTAACCCTAACCCTAACCCTAACCCTAATCCTACCCCTCACACCAGACCAAATATCTGAAATAATACTTAAAGTAAGCATGATGTACAATCACATATATTAGTACTTAAACAGATGTAAATGTTTGAAAGCATAAGGCAAAGAGTGTATTAAATGCTTAACAGTGTTTTTGAATTATTGCATACCACTTGCTGGCTCATGATGATATAAGCTGGTCTGCATAATGTTTCCATGCTTGTGGTTGAAAGCCTGGATTTCTGAGATATTTGAGACTATTGGATTGCACTTTGCTTCTCTTTCAAACTGATCGCTTTAAAATGTTCCTCGGCTCTGCTTTCACACACAATTATTTCCCACCGATCAGATTGTGCAGGATTACTACCTCTAAACCTTTTGCAGGCTTTTCTGCACATGATCTACTGACACAACACATTAATACTGAGAGAGTTAATTATGTGTGTTCGTGCATCTGTGTGTACTGTACACAGCCTGCCACCTCGATGAAGGAAACCAAATCCAACCCACTGTCCTGTATTTAACTGGGTATTTAATGAACGTAATAGCCGACCTTTTTTCTAAAGGTAAACCTCCATTCTACTGGAAATAGTGAGTCCTACCAGGAGCGGTTATCACGTCTGGAGGGAGACAAAGAGTCCCTTATTCTGCAGGTGAGTTTTGTCAGTCTTAGTGTTCAAAGCACATAAGAAAATATCTGTTTATTTTTTATTTTAACCCTTTAAAAAATGTTAAACCGGAAGAATGCCTGGACATTTGTTGATAGAGGTGAATCATTTCCATTTGGTATCAGCCTGCTCAAATAGAAGAGGTCATGTGACCACACTGAGTGGGACCTGATTCTGAACAGTGCCCATATCACATAACAGTGTTAGAGGAACGAGTAGAGGAACTGAGGGCAAAGCTAGGTCAGAGTCTAAAGGTTGCGTAATTTCTGTATTTCAGTTGCACAGGTGAATCAGCAGTAATAAAGCTGGGTTTGGTGCTCTGGTTACAACACTAGAATGTCTTGTTTGTTTTTTTACGATTTCTTTGTCTAGATATGTAGGTGTGAGTAGTTATGACACTACTGAACAAGTGCTTATCTCAGACAGGCTGAGGCTAGCACCACCATGTGCTGTAGCGTGTAGGTGTGTGTGAGAGCAGGTGCCCTGTTTGTTTCTTCAGGCCTCACATATAACATTCCTTTAGAAAATCTGCTCCACTTGGCTGGTCGGACGGGCCTATTAGCATGTGATTAGCTATGATGTGGCCCTAATCGTTTCTTTGCAGATTTATATTTAACCTACGTTTTGCTAACATTTGCTGGCGCCACTGTAGTGTTGCAAGAACTGAGTGAGGAACAAAGGATCATTCATTTTTTCTTAGAGTAAACGTTTACACTATCTAATCAGTCACAGATGTAACATTTCAACAAAAATGTAGTGCAGAAATTAAATGAAAAAAGCTGATATGAATGTGTTCTATCAGAAGGTAAAGGCGAACATCGGATGCCTAAAGAATTTTGTCAAGCATAGGTTGCAATTATGTAAAAAAAAACAGTTTTATTGTCAAGTTGTGTGTAGAAAAATCATCCTCATCTCTGCTTTCTGTCTTCACACACAAATACACAGGTGAGTGTGCTGACAGAACAGGTGGAAGCTCAGGGGGTCAAAATCAGCGATCTACAGAACTCTCTGGTGGAGCATCAGCACAAACTCAACTCCACGGAGGAGATGCTACAGCAGGTACAGCCTCACATACCAAAACACTTCTTACATTGGACTTTCAAATGCTTGATGTATTACTGGACCAAAATCAGGAAAGTCTGACTTCCCTCAGCAGGCATCCAGGGCTTTCACATATTGTTCTTCCATTTAACAAGACTGTCGATCTATCCATCACATATGACTCTTCTGCAGATTCAATCTTCTCTCATAAGCTGTAGAATTTGAACTTGGGATGAGTTATGCTTCCTGGGAACACATTCCTTTTAAGATTCCAGAGTTTCTGTCTGCAGATTACCTTGACAACCAAAAATATTTAGGAGGCTCAGACTCATTCCACAGCAGTGTCTCAGAGTGTTTTTCTAGTTTGTGCAGGGCCAGACTGCTCTGTCTGGGCAGGTGATTACAGAACCATTAGCCACACCCACAACCTGTAACCACCATGATGTGTGGACAAGCACATACACACATACTGTACACAAACGTTGAAGCGCTTGCACACACATACAAACAGAGAGGGAAAGAGAGAGAGGAAAACAGAGGAAAGGAAAAAGCATTTAAGAGAAAGGGAGGAACAGCTGAAAAAGGTGGAGAAATGGGAGGGAATAAGGGTGGTGCTACTCCAAGAGTTAGAAGTGTGCGTGTGCAACTTTCAGTTGTTTGCTTTTGACTTGAAATGTAACAGAGGCTTTGCTGAACACTACGAAGGACTCTGAATGGAATGGATTTAAGAAACTGTAATTTACTGAAACTACAGGGTGCTAGAAACCACCCGCATCCATGAAGGATATACACTTACTTTCCCTTTGCTGCAGGCAGACACTGGAGTAAGGTGAACCAGGTATTATGCATAATGTCATTATTGTGATGCTGCTCATCTGAATTATCAATTCAAAGCAGACAGTTTATGACTAATTGTATATGTGCCAGGCTTGCGTCTTTTAACTATAATGAGTTGTGAACTTAATACTCAGTGTCTACTTCTATGTGCAGTGCTGTATGTGTGCAGAGTATCAAAGGGCAGCCAGGGCTGGTTTCTTGGAGACATGGTCATTATGAGGCTTTGGACCTGAGCCGTAAATCTCTTCCTGGTGACAAAGCTTTAATATTTCCATGTGTACACTCTAGAAGAAGCCTAGACATTTTCCAAAGCCAGAGTTTAAATGGATATATCAATATGTACTGTTTGCCTTTCTCCGATACTCATTCCTAGACTTTAAGTGATTTAGCACCTGCTTGACATCAACCAAATTAGTAATACATCTGCCCACAGAGCCTGGCTTAACTCTCAAGGCTGACAGTTGTTCGGGACAGATAGTACCAGAACTGTATAGCAGGCCCAAAGTCTCCCTTAGCACCAGGTTAGACTGGCAGCGGTTCAAAGTCGCAGGAAAATGCACCTGTCAAAGTTATTTTAATGTTCTTTCTGTGAATGTTTTGCATGCTTTTGGTATCTTTCTCTCTCACTCTCTCTCCCCCTCTGCTGTCTACTTTGACTGAGCTGTGAAATAGGCATTATAAATAGTGGTCATGGGTTGTGTATATTTAGCCACTCAAACAGCATCTGAAACCAGTGGGTTTGTCTGGGGCACTGTCATTACAGCACTGGAAGCTAGCTGTGCCTCATACTTAATGTTGCCTTTGTTCAGTAAGTATTGAGTGTTTTGTATTATTGACGGGATTATGTATTCATGTATGTTAGTATTTAACTGTACGTCTCTTTGTGTTGCCTCATGTTCTTGCTGTATGTTGTTGATGACAGGAGTTCCTGCATAGGACGTCACTGGAGAACCAGAAGCTGAGTCTTATGGGGGAGGTGTCCTACCTGAAACTAAAGCTGGCAGACATGGAGGGAAAACAGAGCCATGGGGCTGAAAGGCAGCACAAAGCAGAGGTAGGGCTGCTCAGAGAGCCAAATAGGCCTACTCTCTGTTGTATTTTACTTTTAATATGCAGTACAGCCTGTAGGTATGGGTGTGTTGTTCATCAGAACTTTTTTTTTACAAATGTTTCGATCATATAAAGGTTTCAAAGTTTGAAAAGCAGTTTTATTAGGACAAGTTTCTTACATTAGAGCTTTACATCGTTTAAATTGAGCAATTAAACCTCATATTCTTGACTATGTAAAGTAAATGTGAACGCCATGCCTCATATTCTAAATGAAAATATAGCTTGTTTCACTGAGGATTGTTTGAGAAGAGGAATTAGTTCAGCTAAAATCCTCAGAAACCTATATTTTATAGTCCTTGAACTGTTACCGAACTCTGCCAGGAGTGAAGGAGTTACTTACAGAAATCTGACAGGCGTTTTGATGGATCTTACCTTATAGTCAGCAGCCGATTTTATGGATGTTCATAAACACTTTCTTGATAGATGGAGGGTAATATTCACCCAGTCTCAGGCTCTGTTGTTTCTGGGCAAAGTCCACAGGAAAAAAACAGTCTCCAGGGGATTTACATTTTTGTCAGTTTAAACTTAATCATGTATTTGCTTAAGAGCGATGTGTTAGGTTACCAGCAGGCATTCAGTGACCATATGAATTAGAGAAAGAGGAAGCAGGGAAAGCGGCAGGACAGGATACTGTAATGTATAGTTACTTCCAAAACACTGCTGGTCAAAGAGCCTTTGTTCTCAGGTTAAAAGAGTCCCTGCATAGCAGAGCTGGCTGATGGATGGCAGACCAAATATGAACGTTTGTAGGCTTTAGCTAAGACAATTTTGTTTTTGGTTATGGGTAAAGGTTCCATTGGCCAGTCTAAAAAAAGGAACTGAAGACATGTTCCCAAAAACATTTCACACAAGCATTTCAAAATAATATTTTTTAAATATGGTTGGGCAATTATAGGGAGGGATTTTATTTGTATTTCCAAGGTAACAGCACACTGTACACTGGACGGCGGTGTTTCAGCTTTTCTTAATCCTGCTTTCACAAACCAAACTTTCCCAACAACAGCTGCTTGGACTTAAGGAGAATAGGAAACAAATCAGCTTTGAACTATTTATTGGCCTCCCACGTGCTGCCTCTACAACACAAACATGTCCACACATATGCAACATTGGGCACACACACACGCAACATGCGGAAGCCTCCTTGCTGTGGAGCCAGTAAGCTCGCAGTTAAATTTAGCCACGCAGGCACTCCATATCATCTGTCATATCCGCTGTACTGGACCCCAAGTGAGACTTCCTCTGTCCAGAGTCCAGGCATAGCTCCACTGTTGTTTACAATCTTTCTGAGGGAACATGGGTCCGTATAACCTCTAAAAGATGGCAAACCTACTCGTCCCCTCAGGGCAACTGGCCCAGTGCGTCAGTAAATAAGTACCAGCCTTGGATTTATGCTTGAAATGCTGGTTCATTAGCTTATTTATGTAATCAGACTCAAGCCCAAATGTACATACTCCAGAGATTTTGAATATCAGGTTTTGTAAATATAAGGTAGAGTAGAAAGGAAAAATAACTTATATAAAACACACACAAACATTACATTACATTACATGTTACTTGTTAGACGCTTTTATCCAAAATGACTTACATACTACTGTGGGCAATCCCCACAGGAGCAATTTGGAGTGAAGTGTCTTGCCCAGGGACACAACAACATGCTGACTGCAGTGGGGTTTGAACCTGTGACCCCCTGATCCGAACAACTACGCACAACCCACTGCGTGTGGCCCAAACAAACACACACTTGTATCTAAACATACTGTATCTATACACATCTATGGTATTTCCTCTTGCTTTCTAAAAGAAATGTCTCAATTATTTTCCCCCCACTTCATCCGTCAGACAGTAGTGAATTTCATTAGTGAGCTGCAGGAGCAGATGTGTAGGTTTCAGGAGGAGATCAATAGCAAGATTCAGGAGAAAAAGGCTTTGGAGATCCCATCTGAGAGCAGCTCTCCTGTGGCCTGCCCCGCGGAGTCCACTGGGGGCGAGGGATCAAACCCCGGGACGTCTTGTGACCGAATCTCAGAAGGGATGAACAAACTAGAAGAGGCTCCAGATGGGCCTGATGGGAACACTCACACCCTGGAAGAGGGTAGCTCAAGGCAGCTGAACCACTGTGGAGAAGAAAGTGTAGGCACAGCCTGCCTGCATGGCTTCTTATGTTGTGTTCAGCATGGGTTGTCTCACTAGAGTGTGTGTGATACTGAGGTTTAAATGCAAATGAAACAAGCACGCACTAAATATCCCCAGCAGTGCTAAATGTCACTGCGCAGCCTGCCCTAAATCGTGTGAAAAATAATCCCATCTGTCAGTTATGCATCAGAGTGTGACACCACCAATAGGTGCATTTCATTTAGTATTTAATATTGTGTGTTATGGAAAAACAATGGACAGATTTTCTAAGATCTCCTGAATATTAAAACTTGTTAAATGTTGACATATCTGTTCTGTTTTAGGGCCTACTGAAAGAGCTCAGGATTCTCAAGGACAAAGTGGAGAATCTGGAGGATCAGAAGTTACAGTTTGAGAAGAAACTCCAATCAACAAAGGTAAAAATAAATCTGAGTTTTGATTGTGTCTCGACTTTGCAATAGACCATCAAAACCATCAGTGGGCAAATTCAACTGCTAACTGTCCGCTTAACTTTCCTAAATGCTTTCCAATCCGCTGTTCCAGCCAGTTATATGCGTGTCACCAATGTTTTCTTAAAGGTCTCATGTCATGGCCATTTCTACTGATCATAATTCCATTGTAGAGGTTTACTAGAATAGATTTACGTTGTTCAATGTTCCAAAATCACATCGGTTTTCTCATACAGCATCTCTGTATAGTATGTGTATTCTGTCCTACACGCCTTGTTGGAGCCCCTTCCCCCCCGCTCCCTATGACCCCATGTGCTCTGATTGGTCAGCTCTCCCACTCTGTTCTGATGAGTCCACCACCGTTACAGCGGAACATCAGTTTATGTTTTACAATGGCGTTTGTTAGCAACCAGAAAATGACACCGGTAATGACAAACAGATGAGAATGCTGCGTGGGGTCTGGGTGCCGTGTTGGCGGGACGTTGTGGGGCTCGAGGAGCGGACAGTGTGAGGTGGATTACTGGTGTCGTTTCCTGGTTGCTGCTTGGGGTCTGAGCTCCGCGGGGCTCCACACACACTCACTCTCTGCGGAGCTCAGGCTGAGTGAGTGTGGGTGCGGAGGCGTTCTGGGGCAGCATAGACACGTCTTTTCTGTGTTAGAGTTTTACTCTCTACAGGGTGTACTTTGAGGGTTTGTGACTCTGCAGACCGTTTACATGCAGAAAAAGCTACATAACACACAAGGGGACGGGTAATAACCAGAAAAGCATATGATGGGACCTTTAAGAGGTCTGAGAACTGTTCACTTTCTATTTTAAAGTCCTGTAGAAATAGATTTAATAATGGCATAATCCCTTTTAATGCCCTATTGTACACATGTATACCTTGGCATGATCCCATGGTCTAAACTTCTTAGACTTTCTCGAGCAGTTTTGCATGCTCTCAGCCTTTGATAAATTCATTATCTTTCCCATTATATTATCATCTCTCTTACAGTCTTGCTGCTGCATTCCCCCTCTGGCACTTTATCTGACTAATATTTAGATATATTTTATTTGCTGTTTTAACTCCACACTAAAACAGTAGTTTGGTGTTAAGACTTCATTCATACAAGTTATGCCTGGTCAACCTACAGTATAGTCACAGCCTTAGACTGGCTTTAGGGTTATAGGGAAATACCGTTTTAAAATTGTATTATCTATGTTTGGTATTTTTCAAAGGAGGTCCATCTGGTTTGTTGTGCAGTGTATGTGAACACTGTATAATACCATCTGCAGCTTTTCAAATATCAAATATGAATCGGTACCTTACTATCAACTGGATGTTTACCCATATTTGAAAAGTAAGCAATTATTTCACAATTTGAACAATTTAAGGAAATCTTAATGCACTCCCAAATAACTGGCCACATATGTAGATGTGGTATGTAAAAATGCCTTCGTCTGTGAGTTTCTGTTTCTAACTCTACCCTTTGAAAAAAAAAAGTCGTATGTAATGTTTGACAAAATAAAACAACACATGTATTTTTGACCTTCCATTCCTACATAACATACAGGCTGACAGTTATATTACAAACACTGCTAAATAGAGCTGCCTATAGTTACCAGCTTTTTTTTCTTCATATAACATTTAAAAAACAAGAAAGAACATACTATACACTTTGCATGTTCCTTTCTCAGATTCAATGTCTATTGTAATAATTTTTTCTGTTCCATGTACATGTATCGGTACAATATCATTGTGGATCTTTCAAATTGTGGTTTTCAAGTGCATACATGTGCAGACATTAAGACTTTAACTCTTGTTTTTGTGACTGTGAAATAACTTAAAAAGCATGTTTAAACAGACAGCGTTTGCGATTGCAGTATATAACCCTTCTAAAATTGTTCCCTGTGTGGCCCCCACAGGCAGAGATCAGCAGCCTTCAGCAGCTTCTGCTCAGTAAGAACTCTGAGATCGAGAGCTTGCACACTCAGCTGCTGGCCAGACCCTTTCTATCCTCTGAGAGCCCGGAGAGAGGTAAGCATGGCACCCAGCCTCAAACAACCTGCCAACAACAGCCTGTCACTCTTGAACACTAACCCAGCCTGATATGTGACGCAGTTAATGACTCATATTTGCATCCGTTTATTTGCAGTAAGATCTGTGGGAAAATTAGGCTAAACACCAAATGTAAGCCTGAGCAGTTGTTGCAGTGTTGGAGCAGTACTTAATGAAAAACATTTAAAACCCATGGGCCATGTCTACTTTTGATCTTTCAATTATTTCTTTACTCCAAACATGTCTCTGTATTTGATTAGATTTAGTTTATATCTGTTCTGAAGGGCAGCTATGATTATAACAAGTCATTTCCAAAGATTATTTGATGCACTATCTCTTATCCCTATGGCTTTTTAATTGTCTATATGGTTTCCTATGACAAATATGTTGTTGTTCCTTCCAATTTTGTCAGTTAAACACATATCTGGGGTACTTGCTCAGTAAAACCAATGTCAGTCCCAAGCAATAATCTCTGTGTGCCTGTAATAGTTACAAAGGGAGTGTTGATAGACTGTGGGCCCAACTATGTGAAAGCTGACATGGCTAAAGCTATGATTGGTAGATTAAAAAAGGCTTGGGAGAATCTAAAAATACACAGTTTTTGATGGCACTCCAGTGAGAAAAAAATGTACTTCATGTTAGCATGTATATTATGTGACTATGTTTCTCTACAAAATACTAATTTATTTGACATGACATGAGCAGCTGCCTTTACAGACTAATAATCAGTGTGGGGTTTCTCTTTTTAGATCAGGAGCTGCAGAAGCTAAGGAGTGGAATGAAATCACTGGTGACTGCCAATGATGAAAAGGTAAGTTAGGAGTGATGTGGAAATCTTTCCTTTCTCTTCTGGTCAACACAGCTGCTTGTGATTATGCAGTATAAGGCAGCATGTGTTGTCTTGGTTAACTACAACGTAAAGTGTCTTACTGGCCTGTATATAGAACTGCTATCATCATGCTGTTTGAAAGGTTAAAAGGTAACTGTTTTTAGATGTTGTCATTTCTCAGAGGCACCGCCCTCCACCATTTATAGTACAGAGGGGCTTTTGTATTCACCCTCCCAGACACTCTCGGACTTTAAAGACGAGAGCCTACATGTGGCACACTACCGAAGGACACACACGTACACACACCCCAAGGCGGGCCATTTCAGGCAAAGCCACACTTAAGTAGGCCTCGATCTGCCAAGCCTAATTTTGGAGTGAGCTGCATTAGTAGAACCATGACAAAACCAGGCATGGGCACCACTTCAAAAAATACACAGCTGGTTACCACAACTAAGATTTCCAGCGAGGCCTGTGTCAATCCCCTCCCTATCCACAACTTTGATGTAAAGGCCATATGGTAAAAAGAGACGTTTGTGTGGTGTATGGGTCAGTAATAGAGTGGAGCGGGTAGTCCATATGTGTGTTTCCTAACCTTAGATAAACATCTTAATTGAGTTTCCTCTCTGTTTACTCTAGGACCGACGCATTGAAGAGCTCTCTCTGCTCCTGAATCAGTGCAGGCAATTCAGAGAGGTCCCTCACACCACACAGCAAGGTAATCAGCTTATTCACTCTGTTATCCTTCCCTAGTGGCGTTTCTATTATGTGAGCAACAACGTTGAGCAGCATGAAAGCCACCACTCTTCCCCTCCTTAACAGAAATGTACGCCACGGCTTGAGCTGATAAATAAGGGTTTCTTCTCTTTGTTACTGTAGCTCCACCTGCTGTTCAGTCATTGTCAAATGGCAGGACTCCGTCAAGCAGCAGTGAGGAAGAGGAGCATGTACTGATGAAGAATAGTACAGACTCTGCCAGTGTAAAATCTGTGGATGTAAAGTCTGAGGTACAAACCATTTCAGCTACTTGATAGACATTTGCTTGCTTAAACATGATATTGATTTTTATTTACCCTTTAAAGGTTTCCACAAGCAGTTCTTCCTCTCGACAAACATCTGTATCATCCGCCCAGAAGGACAGTGATTCCAGGTAATAAAGCAGCTGTTAGGTAATGGATGACTCCGATATCTCTTTCTTTTACTGAGATTATGTTGTCTTTATCTTCTCAGAACAGACCCGGCAACCTTATCAAGTAGCATGAATGACCTAAAAATTGGACCTTTACAAAAGGTAATCATCCTACAAATGTAGTGTGTGTCCATATTCTTCTATCTTAGATAGGCCTATACAATCAACAACGGATGCTTCCAATCATTATACTGTTCTACACTTTACTGGAAGCTAACGTTTTTCTCGTACATGATTAATGCAGGAGAGGTCAGAATGTTATATTTACAGTTATTATATTTTCCTTTTGTATCTGTGTGTGGTTTATCCAGAATGGTCTGGATGACACCAGAAGTCAGACGCTGCCTGTGAATTCCTCTCTGTCAGAGCAGAACGGGAGCGGAGACAGCAGCAGTGAAATCCAAAGTCAAAGGTCTCCAGATGGGAGCGAAGATGGAGACTCCAGCCAAAGTAAATCCAGATATATTAACTCAAGCTACACATGATGATGGATAGCGTGCAGTAATAATCTTTGATGTAGGATCAGACCTAATTTTTCTGGGGAATAGTCGCGGGGCCAGTAACTCCTGTGAGCAGATGCAGCTTTCATATTTGGAGCAAACGACTCTCCTTTGACCAGACGACCGCTGCACCTTTGATCACATTTAATTGCAGAGGCTCCTGACAGAGCAGATGGCTCATGGGAAATACTTTCTCACCAACACACTCTCTCTTGCTCTGATTGACCATATTCATTTCAGATCCTCCCTTCCTGAGATTCACCGACCATTTTTAACTTGAGCCCCACCCTGATTTTTTCTCTGCTGCGTTCTGACTGACTGAAGCCCATACCATAAATATCACACCTTGTAACATTTAGCTTGAACCCCTTCTTTTTCACAGGGCATTAACCAGTGAATTTTTTGCCAAACTCAATGACCTGTGTTCTCGCTCATGAATAGAGTACTGTAACAAGACAGACTGAAACACGTGCGCCGCTTTGCTCTGAATGTTATTTTTGGTATGCCAGCGAAGAAAAGAGCAACGGAATTTTTTTTACTGCTTTTTACTCAGTAATCATCAAGATTTGTCTTTCACGCTTCCCTACAGGAAACCATAAATTAAGACATTCTATTTTTTCCAAGTTTCCAGTGTTGAAATGTTTATTTGGCAAGATTACAGTACGTCTATCACAATTAAACTCTTTTTTTCTACTTATCAAATGCTCCTAAAATATGTTGCTTCTAAGTTGCCCTTCACAGTACTTTTGAAAATCTTGAACCATATTTGCACTTACACTGACTTTAGTTTTTGTATCGTTTTACAGGAAAGTTGGAGAAAGTTGATGACAGCAGTTCGAGCGATAATTCTCCTGTTCATTCTGCAGAGAACACACAACCTGGCCTAAGAGCTGTAGGCTCACCAGAATACATGAAGAATAACAGGAGCTTAAAGAGGCTCTGGGGAAAGTGAGTGTGAGAAATGACAGTGATAAATCAACAATACACTAACATAAATGCTGGCCAAGTACGGAAAAAAAGAAGAAAACAAAATATTACATAGACCTTAAAAAGTATACGTATAAATATGTACTTTAAGCCAAAATACATATGGTTTATAGAGAATATATTTGTGTATAAATAATATGAAATCTAAGTGGAGAGAAAATAAACATTTAGAGATTTTTCCGTAAAGAAATCTTTCTTGCATAATGAAACTGTCCTACTTATTACAGTACAGTAAAAAAGTAAAAACTTACCATATAATTACTGAAACTACACTGTTGCACAACCCTGTCAGATGTTGAATGATTGATGATAACAGTTTTATCTAAAAGTAATTAAAGACTCACCATAGGGATTTCCATCACCACCACAATATTTATACGTGTGCCAAATATGTTATCATTTAACTTTGAGAATGAAAGTGGTTTGATGATGTTAACTCTCCTTCATACAGACTTCGGAGAACCCAGTCAGGAGGCCTGCAGGCAGCCGATTCAGACGGCGGCCAGTTTAGAAGAGGGGGTCTGCGTGCCACAGCAGGACCCAGACTGACCAGGACCCCCGAGTCTTATGACCCAGCACGGTAAAAATCAGTGTGACTCTACCTATCTGTTTAGTAAGAGTTTAGGGGTTTTGTATCAGGCAAGTCAGCATTCTGTTTTACTCCTTTAAAAAAATCTGGTTTGGTTCTCATGCCTCGTCATGTGCATTCACCATTCTATAAATACCCAAATCAAACAGTATAACAAATATGATTCTTTAAATGTATTACATACATAAATCACATTAAAGTACTTGACATAAATTAATCAGTTAATTATTTTATTTATTTTATTTCAGTGATCTGAATATTCCATTCAGCCAGTGGACCAAGGAACAGGTGTGCGGTTGGCTGGAGGACTATGGACTGGGCCAGTATGTTAATCTCACCCGACAGTGGGTCGAACATGGACAGACACTGCTGTCTGCCACACCGCAGGACTTTGAGAAGGTCAGAGAATAAAACAGAACAGTTACACTAAACATTGAGAAAATTATGTTTTTACTCATATATAGTTTCTAAGTAGGTATCTGAAGAAACATATTCATGACTAAATTGAAGACTTAAAATGGCTAAACTAAACTACATTGTGCACCACCACTGATTCCCCAATCCTTAGTTTTATAGTGTCACGCCCTAGATCAAGGACGGACAAAGGAAGGAGACCACACATGATTCATCCAATTGAAGTGCATTTATTTAAAGAAACTAAATTAACTATGGAGTCAGTTAATCAGTAATGTGTGTAGTGTGTGGGTGTGTGAACATGCATCAGTATATAAAGAAAGGACAAACAACCCAAGGTCCAGTAGAGCCAAGCAACCCAAGAGGAGAGAAAGACTGACTGCTCAGGCACCCATACTTGTAGCTGAGCAGTCAACCCAAATCAGGTGTCAGCAATCTCTCCTGATTTGGGGGAGTGGCTAACCAGGGACCTGAGTCTAAGGCCAAGGGGCCGTCACACCTCCCCGCTTAAGAATGAGGTAGCACCTCAGATCCTGAAACAAAACAAGAATATTAGACACAACATTTTCTTCCAATTCATAAATCCGAGTAACACGTTTCAGAGCACACAAAAACTGCATTATAGGCCTATCAAAAGTGATACTAGGCAAAGAAGGAACGATGACAAAAGTACATGAGGTGACTCCCGAAATTTGCACAAAACCCGCAATCATTACAGCCTAACCCCAGGAAAAGCAACTACTGTTGCTTAGTGGACGAAACAGGGAATGCCTGTACGGTCAAAACTTCAAGAAGAATGGGACGAAGCTCCTGCCCCATCTTACCCAAAGAGGTTACTGTAGCTCTCTTTCACATACTTCCGTGTGTTACAAATGTTGCACTCTGACCTTCTAGCCCAATTGACATTGCCACATGTTTTGCACTTCCAATCATTTACACTGAAGAGACCCCTGCTCTTCCCAGCCAGAGTTTTCCAACCATCTGTTCCTCCAGCTTTCATCATATGTGCCCTCATGGTTTTCTTCTTGCCACATCTGTAACAACTGCTTCTTCTAGCAAAGTTAATCATTCCACACTTATCCGGACAAAACCAGTCCTCGCTTCTAACTTAAAAACTCTTTCCTGCAATGTTTATTTTGTTACTCCTGAATGGCTTTGCATGATCTGGCCAAACACGACCACCTGCCAGGTCATTTCCCAAAATGATGTCCACTCCAGTCACGGGCAACTCTGGACGAACACCAACCTCCACTTCTCTCTGGACCAAATCACAGGACAGAAACAGTTTATGCTCAGGCACAGAAATGGTTTGCAGACCAATCCCTCTAATTGGAACACAGCGCCCTATGTCTGAATCTGGAGAAAAAGGCAAGATGGCCTTCCTCACAAAAGTATTCAAAGCGCCTGAGTCCCTCAAAATCCTGACTTGAACTTTCTTGTCACTCCCAACGATATATTAGAAGCATAACCCGACTCAACCTCTGAGATATCAATTGCCTTACCCTGCATTTGCAATGGAGCCAAGACTTCTGTTTCACCAACTCTGGGATTATGAATAGTTGTAGCCAAACCAACTGACTTCACATGAAAAGTGTTGCTTTTCCCCTCTAGCAAAGGACATAATTTTTTCCAATGACCCTGTTGATGGCAATAATGACACACATTTGCATTGCTTGTGCCATTAGGATGCCGTGCAAACTTTGGGGACAAAGATCCTGCTTTCTGAGATTCATTCCTTTCATAACACTCACCAAAGATGCGCCTGTGCGTCAACACATACTCATCAGCCAGTACTGCTGCCTCCCTAGGACATGTGACTTTATGTTCATTAATATAGGTTGCAATGTTCTCAGGGACCGACTGTTTCAACTGCTCCAGAATGATTAAATCACATAACTGATCCAATGTTTTTACCCCAGAAGCAGAGTACCAGCGCTTGAAATGCAAGATCAAATCCCGTGCAAATTCCACATGTGTTTTGTTACCACTCTTTCGCCAGTCTCTAAAACGTTGGCGGTACGCTTCAGGCACCAACTCATAAGCCTTCAAAACAGACGATTTCACCGTATCATAATCTTTACAGGCGTCAGAAGATAAAGCGGAGTAGGCTTCTTGTGCTTTACCTGTAAACACACACTGCAACATTAAAGTTCTGTCCTCATCAGGCCAGCCCCTTGAATCAGCAACACGCTCAAACAGACAAAAAAAAGTGTCTATATCATTTTCATTAAACTTTGGCAACAACAGTAAATTACTTGCATCAAAGCGTGAACTTACAAGTTCCTCATTCAATGCCGATGCAGACATTTTACCTGCCCTAATCAAAGCCAATTTTTGCAGTTCCAAATCCAATTTGATTTGTTCCTTTTTGTATTTGATTTGTTCCACCTCTTTTTCAAGAATCAACAATTCTTTCTGTTGTTCAAATGTTAAGCCAGACACATAATTAGTGACAATGCTCTTACCTCCCCTGTCCATCAGTATCGCACAGTCTAGCAAATGAGCCTTTATAACACTTTTCAGGGTTTCCTTTGTTTGTTTGGAATCAACATCAACAGAGTAATAATGAGCAATCTTCACCAACTGCTCCTTTGTACATTGCTCCAACAACTCATCCGAGGGACACTGAACAAAATCTTCCACAATGTTAGCCATATCAAACCACAAAAATCTAGCAACCTAGATAACTAAATTGATGTAACATACACCAAACCTTTACACCATGCATCTAGTGGCAACAACAACAACAACTGGTGACTCCCCATGCTCAACTAACTAATTAGAGTATGTCCCTTATCTGACTAAACTCGTACCTAGTCTTCGTACAGATACTTGTGGCAGGTATTTATTCACTGAAACCCAGTGGTAGTGATGGCAGTTTGACACTGAAGCTTCGAACGGAGCTTCAACCCTGGACTTCCTATTCCATAGAAGCAGTGCTTCGAAGCTTGCTTCAAATCACGTGACATATGACGTCCGAAGCAGCAACTGCTTCAAATCACGTGACATGTGACGTCCGAAGCAGCAACTGCTTCATTTCCTGAATGAATCACTTGACTGGTTCACGGTCCATTCACGCGATTCAATGCACTGCCTCGTCTCGATTCTGACAGGTTGAAACAGTTTCAAACTTGAGTGCTTCAACACTTTATGACCGCTCTAAACAATGCACAATGTGTGGGTTGTTGTCGTAGTTTGCGTTGTTGCTGTTGAGTTGTTGTTGGTATTGCATTTGATATCATTATAGTCTTTATAGAGCAAGCCAGGAAGAAAGGTAGGTCGTTCTGGCTCGGGAAACACTTCGAAATGTGGAGAAGTTGTGAACAAAAAGACAATTATCAGTAATATAAAAACTGTTAAATATTTCAAGCAATAGATAGCCCAGTGGGTACAGCCGGCGGCCCGAATGCGGCGATGTCCTCCGCGCAGCTGGTTCAAATCCCGGAATGGACGTATTTTAATCATTGCTTTTCAACTTTAATAACTGATAAAAGGCCCTCTCCGCCCAAAAACATGTCTAGCACTCTCTAGTCTCTTCTCAATAACCCAATACACACAATTATCAATCTTTAATTGCAAATAGAACATGATATTCAGTCTTAGTGTGTGTGTGTGTGCATCAAATATTTTTCAAGGCAAAGATACGTTAAACCCACTGCAGCCTTGCACTTCGCCAGGAGAGGTCGCTGTAACTGAAGCTTCGAGAAATGAACCTATTTCCGACACAATTGTCCAAGTGGTTCGACGCTTCATTCAAAGCTTCATTTTGCCATCACTACCCAGTGGTACTGGAAAGCAACTGTATACACAGCGACCCCACAAGAAACCATGGACGTGATCCCGAGACAACTGTTCTGGCCACTTTCTCTGTCACACTAAACCCAACCCCCGACAACAGACTCTCTATTAAAACCTGCTGCTTGGCCTCACAGAGGAGAACACCAGTCACATGCCACACCAAACATTTCGCATATTTACCTCAAAGATAACTGGCCCAAACTAGATTATAATAAAGCTCTCCAAAACAACTACATCCATGTGTGATACTCCAACCTAAATTAGCACAGAAAATAAATTCATACCAACAAAATGTATGTCAACATTTGACTTTAGACGAGCCCCCATGTCACGCTCTAGCTCAAGGACGGACAAAGGAAGGAGACCACACATGATTCATCCAATTGAAGTGCATTTATTTAAAGAAACTAAATTAACTATGAAGTCAGTTAATCAGTAATGTGTGTAGTGTGTGAACATGCATCAGTATATACCGAAAGGACAACCAAACCAAGAGCCAAGCAAACCCAAGAGGAGAGAAAGACTGACTGCTCAGGCACCCATACTTGTAGCTGAGCAGTCAACTCAAATCAGGTGTCAGCAATCTCTCCTGATTTGGGGGAGTGGCTAACCAGGGACCTGAGTCTAAGGCCTAGGGGCCGTCACAATAGTGACAGTTTTTTTTTTGACCTCAGGAGATGGGTATGAAGAATCCGCTGCACAGGAAGAAGTTACATCTCGCTCTCAAGGCCTTCACCACAAAGGTCATAGAGAAATCTTCAGAGCTGGACTACATCTGGGTCACACGTAAGACTCTTTCTAATCTACATGGAATATTTGTTCTCATTTGAATCATATCCATAAATAGAGACTGGGACATATCGGGCCAACAAACCAAACAAAGACATGTAATGTGTGAGATGTAAATCTGTTTGGAAAATATGCAAATATGGCAGGCATTCAGAGAGGAACTGTATTTTGCACTGAGCAGTTACAGTGATAACACAGCTGATGGTGCTTGATTCAGCATTCATAAGGTGAGTGAGTGAAGTCAATTAATGTACATTTTTCACCCATCTAGGCTGGTTGGATGATATAGGTTTGCCTCAGTATAAAGACCACTTCCATGAAGCCCGCGTGGATGGTCGAATGATACAATACCTCACAGTGGTAAGACTGAATCCAACTGTAACATTTACCATGAATGTGGAGGCCTGCAAATACATATATTTACATTTCAGATGTATTCAAACATTTGCATAATTTTCCTTAATTTCAATGATATTCACTGTTATTTTGTTGTTCCCTCAGAACGACCTCTTGACTCTGAAGGTCACCAGCCAGCTTCATCATCTCAGTATTAAATGTGCCATCCATGTACTTCATGTCAACAAGTTCAACCCCCACTGTCTTCGACGTAGGCCAGGGGAAGAGGTAAGCCAAAATTGAATGGAGCAACAGGAAGTGCAAGTTATAAGTTACTGTGGATTTTGGAAATAGGTCTCATTACATGAGCTGCCCACAAGATGGCGACATACAGACATGAAATGACTTTAACATAAAGCATTTTTTCTATCATAATGTATAAATGCCTCTATGGTGCATTCAAAGCACTCACTTATAATGTATTTAGAACATGGATCAAACTACTATGAATGAGATAGAAGATTAATACTTTTTGTTTTTGACTTTGGCAGAAAAATCCCTCTCCCTCAGAGGTGGTGCAGTGGTCAAACCACCGTGTGATGGAGTGGCTGAGAGCAGTAGATCTAGCCGAGTATGCCCCTAATCTACGAGGCAGCGGCGTACATGGAGGGCTTATTGTAAGTAGATTTTGAGCTTTTCTGCAAGTTTTTCACATGCATTCATGACAAGACTGAATAACTACATTTGTTGTTGTCTTCTTCTGTCAATACGCTATTCCATAGATACTCGAGCCTCGCTTCAGCTCAGAGACTTTGGCACTGCTGTTGAATATTCCTCCACAGAAGACTTTGCTCCGTCGCCACCTCGCCACTGCCTTTGCTGCCCTGGTGGGGCATCAGGCCACGCAGGAGAAACGAGAGTATGGCAATGCCACAGGCCATGTACCCCTCACTACCACTGCTAAAGTAAAGGTAAGAGCAAAACAAGAATTAACATGTTTCTGTTGAAGCAGCATACAATGTCAATTATTTATTAATGGTTTTGACTTTTCTGTGTTTTCAGCCCAAGAAGCTGGGATTCACCCAATTCAGTCACCTCAGGAAAAGGAAACCTGATGAATCTGCGGACTATATCTGCCCAATAGACAGTGGGGCTCGGACAGTCAACGGGGTTTCTCGCCTGCCCTCTTCAGCACTCAGGGGCCTCAGCCCCACCTTGGACAGACAGGCTGAGAGGCAGGAGCGGCTGGGGATAAAAGCTCAGGCTAATGGCCTTAAAGAATAATTTAAAATACAGCACACTCCCCTCTCACTCACTAAGTGACTTTGTAAATCAGTGGAAATCTGATGCAGAAATGTACCTGAGATTAATCCATGTGATGACTTGCTGGATTGGCTGCAAAAAGCAGTGTTGTTAATAAATTGTGCGAATAGTTTTATGAAAGCTGCTCTCTGCATTCCTTATACCGTTGGACTCCAAAGCTTTTACTTTGATTTAAAATAATGCTTTTTCCTGTCCATTTTGTATGGTATCTTCTGCAGATTTACATGTATAACGTTTTCTTGTTATAGACTGCACAAGGTATTTGCTGACCCCAGTTACTTTAAGAATGTCTCTTGTTCATATTCTGTAAGACTGACACAATGTTTTTCTCACGCATTACTCTTGTGCACCTTTAAATGTGTTTTCTTTGTAAAGGATTCTCATATGCAACATTATTTCATACAATCATATGCTGTAGTGTAGTATAATAAACATGAGGTTGACAGTTTGTGTAGCATTTTTGGAGAAAATCAAAGCAAATGTTTTCCCATCTCTTCTAGCTGCTTATAGTCTCTGAACATCTTGATCATATTTAGTTTTGGCTTAATTATATCATACAGTACTCATGTGATTAACAGGGAATGTTTTCAAATGTACATTTATATATTGTTTAACTAAAATTAAGGTATAAACCTCAGTGTTTTATTTTTCACTTCCTGTGAATGGATCTTTAGATCCGAATGGGCTAGAATTGATTCAAGACTGCCCTCTATTGGTCACAAATAGAAATGCAAGAACAATTGGCACGACATTAGTTTGGTTTCTTTGTTTTGGTGAGTTAAATAAAATAAATGCATCAAACAAACAATGATTCCCTTGTTAGTGAAGATTAACAGCTTCAATTTAAATTCAACTTGTTAAACACTTGAAAAGTATATTAAGTGTGTGTATATTTATAAGATTTTTTGTTGAGATTTCGAGCATAATCTGCTTGAATACAGGCAGTTATAGACAGTTGTCCACTACGTGTTGTTGATCCAGGAAAAATGTACAATACACAATTGTTGGCCTATTTAAATTTTCTGAAGTTAATATATCTGAAAAATCATACCATGTTTTGCTCTGTTGTATTGCACTTGTTGTTTTCAATATAAATGGTTATCAAGAGTAAATACAACTAAATAAAACATCTCCTGACAGCATTTTACCCTTTAATCTCTGGCAGATTATTTTGAGAGAGCCCAGACAATATATTGTTCAGCAGGGTGGAGTGGTGGAGATATTGCATTACTTAACCTACCATAGTTCAAAGGCTAAATGAAACAAAAGCAAACATGACTGCCTTGAGTTTGGCTACATTTTCCTTTGTAATGTCCACTTTATCTAGCGGTGTTGTAATTGTTAACAGTTACAGTATTTGCCAAATGAGACCAATCCGGTATTGGTAGCAGTTAGGGGTATCCGTATTCGTCCCGTACCGTCACGGTTCGGACGTCACGGTTCGGCACGCGCAGTCACACGACGAATACACCTTTTTTTTTTACGAGTGGGAAAAAAGTCTGTCATTCAGGGCAGTATCCACTACATTATATATAATCCAGGGGGCGGTATTGCGCCTAAAAGCTGTTTGCCAGCCGCCCTTAAACAACAAATGAAGAACAAGAAGAAACACAACAACAAAACGAACAAAATACAAGAAGAAAAGTTAGTATGGCGATTTCAAATAACACACAGGAGCTAGAACCCACCTGCTTCTTTTAAATCAGCTGTGTGGGAACATTTCGGGTTCCCTGTGGACTACAATAACGATGGAGTGCGAGTGGTGGATCGGACGAGGACGGTGAGTCGATAGCGGTGCGGTATGCTAATGCAAACACACGCCAAACATGCTAAATCATATCAGAAGGCATCACCCAGATTTGCCAATCACCGGAGCCCGGCAAAAGACAACAGCAGTTCAACAGCTGATCCCCGCTGTTTTTAAGAAGCCAATAGACATGAGAGCCGAGAGACCAAAATAAATAACGGAAGCTTTTGGCATATCAACGACTTTGCGCTCTTAAAACACTTTCTTATTATTTATGATGTAATATTTTCAAGACATTCTTTTTAGTTTTACAGCTTGATGAAACCTTTTTGTTTGACATCAGCCATTATAGATAATATGGCCATCTGAGTGTGTGTGGTACTGGTAGCCTACTGTTTGTGGTTTGTTTTTAACTGTTTAATACAGTTAATTATTCAAAATGTCAGAGTTCCTTATTTGTAAACTGAAACGTGCACTACTGTTCAAACATAAATAACAACAAACCTGGAATTATGCATTTGGGACTTTTTTTTACTTTTCCTTGTTGTACCGAACCCGTACCGAACCGTGATCCCCAAACATAGACCCCCAAACCCAGGTACGAACCGAACCGTGACTTCTGTGAACAGTTACACCCCTAGTAGCAGTATTTCAATTAGCATAGACTGACACCAAGTGCTGTAATAAAACAAAGTCTCACTAAACGACCAATTTCCCTCTAAATTAATCTACTTTGATTCTGCTGGCGTGTCTGTTAGCTTGGCAGACGGGGCAGCAGTCAGCTCTCCTCTGAACCCTCCTGCAGAAGCAAACAGCCTCAATTAGACCAAACACAATAATTAGGGAATCTTGTACCTCTGCATATCATTAGTTTCCTAACGGAGAACATCCTGATCAATGATTACAAATAGCAGCTTCATAAATAAATTAGTCCTGCTGATACATGTGTAACCCAACTCAATTGATCTATGTTAAATGGAAATCAGAGGGCTGCAGGAATGAGGATTGGGATGGTGGGATTTGCAAATGTAAAAGTATGAAGTACAAAGGAGAAAATACTAGTTTAAAAATGTGTTTTCCAAATGTCAGCAATGTCTGACACATAGGTAAAAAGGCGACATGTACATAAGAAAATGTTGAAAGTTTAAAAGATAAAAATCCTTATTTAAAACCAGCAGATGTCAGTGTTGGCTGTGGATGTGCCATGTGCCATAAATACTACCATTGCTGAAACTTAACTGTTGGCTCGTGGTGCACCACTCTGTATTTAGCTTGTTTTTCATTCATTTTTCATCGTTGTTTAAGTTTGTTAGTCAGAGGTATTAATACTTTTTCATTCGAGTGATACTGACGTCACCCTAAAAGACATGAAGCTTGTTGTACTGCTTTACTACATTTGCAAAGACACTTTGAGTTATTTGAAAGTTGTTCTCATGCCAGCACACAAAATAGGAATAGATGTCACATTGTTAATCAAATACTGGGCTCAGACGTGGCAGATGGACATTTCAGGATTAGAAAACATAGCACATTGATATTAGAGGCCCTTTTAGACTCTGTAATTGTCAGAATGTAAATGATACATCTCAAAGATATAGACAAGCATGCATTAAAGCATGTCGTTTTATTAATAAAAAGTATAAAACATTGCTGTAGTGTCTTAATGTGGGTTTATCAATGTTGTATGTTAAAAGAGGACTGCATTGTTTATAATAATGCATCTTGGCTAATTTCAGTAATGTGTTCCAGCCTTTAGGAGCTGACAGCTTAATGGCTATTATTTGTGTCACCCTCTCTCATAACACTTTAGCAGTAAATTGCTATGTGCATATGTCTGTGGTATGACTGACATCTTACCTTGTAATACGATAGCTATTGTTTTAATTAAGTGAAAGCGATTGTGACATTTATTGGTTTCCAAGTTACTTGTTAATGGCAATATAAGAAAGAGTAGAGGTAAATTATGATGGTTTACATTGCATAAATAATTTACAAACCCTTTACTAATGATTACACATTATTCTCCCACTGAGACTGTCATTTCATTTGAATACATCACAAATAAAAACACTGCATTGGTGATGCAATGCAAACCCCCTCTTGGCAATGCCTGAGCCCTCTCCCTTCTCTCTGTCTCATCTTCTTCCTGTGTGTTCCTGAGGGTGAGTGGATATAATGTTTATTAATGCTGTATCATATTTGTGGTGAAATGTTCCATTTAAATTATAGAGTCTATTGAGACTTGTATTCTGTTATCAAGGTCCCTTTTTAAAATAATGCCAGTAGCCAGTCTGTTAGTGCTTTAAGTCATCACCCTGTCTGTTTGATCAATGGAGTCACTCAGATGTCTTTAGTGGAGCGTAATCATGTTTTTATATGATGTCACTGGTCGTTCCTGTCATTAACTTGCCACCAGCTTGCCAGTTTGGGGAACATATTCGATGTTAGGGTGGTGCATGTGTTGCGTACTCCCCATCCAGCCACTAAAGCTGTATCTGTCTCCAGCGCACCAGTTTGTTCTGACAGGCCTGCCACAATGATGACTGCATCACCAAGATGCGGCAGAGCAGCTTGCGAGCCGACCCTGACACGCCGTCAAAAAGAGCAGCCAGCCGTCTGAATGAGCCTTCTTCTGCCCCATCAAACCTCAGAGCCATCTCTTCCTGTACAGCCAGACACCATCAACCAGGCTGTCTTTTCTCTGTTTGCTTTCAATAGGGAATGCATGCTTTGTATCCTTCTTGTGCGTGCGAAGATCAGTGGCTATAGATACTTAAATGATCTGCAAACAACCTAAAATCACCACATTAGATATAGATAATAGATGACAATGGCAGTCCAAAACAAGCATGATGGGATGTGATTTTGGGGAACCGTAAGCTTGGTTAGGATCAGCACTGTTGGCTCAAAGGGGCCTTTTTTTATTTGGCAGCCAAGGCAACTCTGCCTGTCATGTTTAGTTTCTGGACTGGCTTTTTCAATGCCTGAAAAATGTAGCCAGTCCATTGAAAGAGAGGAGAGGCATCAATCATTATGAGAAGGCAATTAGAGACATTTAATGAGTGCTCAAACCCAATAAAGATTGAACATTGTGTCACCACTTTGGTTATTTAGTCAACGTCGCAACTGGTCATCTCTTACACATCCATTAATATATCTAATGTAAAATCTCTACGATAGAGTTAAAGCTATAATACGTATTGCATTACCAAGCTGTCCCCTTTAATGGTAGCGTCTCTCACCAGTGTGTGACTGGGTGAACGCTGGCTTGTGTTGTAAAGCCAAGAAAAGAAAAGGGTTACATAAATGCAGACTATTTAAATTTTTTTAAAACAATAGATGGCAATTACTTCTGTTAAGTGTGCAGTGAAACAGGCACTGCACTGAAAATGCACAACTTAATATTTATAAAGTCAGCCACACACCGGCACGACATTTTTACTCAGTACACTTCACCACTGTTTTGCATTCATCGTCTGTCCTCTCTACAGATTGTCCACATTAACCTCTACTGATTGACTTTCTCTTTGTGTCCCTGTAATGGGCCCCAAAGACCAGAAATAAACCAACCCACATAAATTAACTGAAGTCTCTGTGTGCATCTTTTAAAAGCTCTCTACAAAAAGTTATTTAGTTGATACACAACCCTTTTACTTTAAATAAGGATATGAAAAAATGCTAATGCCAATCAGCATGACCAA